ATGGACATAAGTTCTTGATGCTGTAAATGTGTAAAACGAAAACTTTAACTTTAATATGTTGTTTGAGGGATTGCGCAACTGGTTTTCCACTTCAAACTAAAGCAAAATTTGGTTTCTGTTAAAATCGGTGTACTTTAGACTTTAACATCAAATAGCCTTAAAAACATATAGATTTTTAGTTAATTTTCCTTCAGTATCTCGAACGTTCTCGTTCACAAGTTTAAACAGGAATAAAATATATTTTATAGAAAATATCCATTATAATATAAGCGGCAATGGATGATGAGGACGATGCGGACTTTTTGCCGCCGGCAAACACAAACACCTTTGCCATACCCAATGAGCCGGATTTGCTGATGGAGTATGACCTTTACAGGCCCTCCATGGGCACAAGGCGGCTCCATAGTGAGCGTAATCGCGAGGTCTACACCGAGGCGTTCATCGAGAATGAACGCCTGGGCACACTGGCGGATTTATGTGTACGGGCGTTGGCGAAATTGGGCACCAGATATATTTCGCCGCTGGTGAAAGACGATCCGTTAAAGCTGCGCGTTCATTACGATGCCCTGGACGTTAATCTGCCGTTGAAGGACTGTTATTTTGTGGACGATTTGCGCTTCTGGCGGCGGGTGGTGCTCGCCAAGAGCTCGGACAAGACGCTGTCGTTGAAGAAGCTCGATGAGTACGACTGGAAGGGCAAGGGTGTGAGCCTTAAGTATGTGAAACTGGTCGAAGCCTGCCCGGCTGCCTACTGGCCAGAGAAGCAAATGGCCGAACTGGGTAGCTTGGTGCGGCAATATGTTCGAACGATGCACATACAACATCTACAGTCGCTAACGGATGACGCCTTCACGCACTACGTGGAAAGTGAAGAGGAGCTGGACGTTACCTCGGAAGAGTCTGTGGTGTCGGAGATATCCAGCGACGAAAAGTAAGTCGGAACAATAAAGTCGAGTTGGAAATGTGTGTTAAGCCTATGTCGTATCTAGGGATACAATGGATGAAGAAGAGGAGTGCGAGGAGGAGGAGGAGGAGTTGACCATAGTGCAACCATTGAAAAAGAAGCGTGGAGAGTCCGCAGTGCGAATAAATGAGCATAAGGCTAGAATGTTTGACGTTGAAGTACATTCCATTTCAGACGCTTCCACGGCTGAGCTCGCCGCCAATCAGGAAATCAAGAAATCTATAGTCGCTGAAGAGGAAGCGCAGCAAAAGCGTCGTCAAGCCCGCAATGCCCGCAATGCAGCTCGACAGCAGCTGCGCGAATTGCACGCCGAAACAAAGGAGGAGCACGAGCGACGCCGCAGAAATCGAGAGCTTCTGCGTATGCCGCCCGAACCGGAGCCGAAGAGAAAGAAGAAAAAGAAGGCCAAAAAAGTGCCCATCGAGGGTGTCTTCGATCTGGCCGTCGAACCAGAACCGGAGGATAACGAGGACAAAGTAGCGGACGGCCGCAACAAGGAGAAGCTGCTGCGACGCATCAAGCGCTACGATTATCCCGCCAAGCATTGCCATCACATAGATCTCAGCTTTGTGCGCTATTTTGATCAATTGGTCACGCTGACCCTCGAGTTCCTTGGCCCCCAGATGGAGCTCAACTATCACAAGCGGCACATGAACTTCTCCTACAATGACATGTTGCATCTAGCGAGTGGTCTGCACACATTGCGACAGCTTAAAGTGTTCCGGTTGCGCAATAGTCGAATGGATAACATCAAGCTCTTGATATTGGCGCGTGTTCTTAAGCAGCTGGACGCACTTGAGATTGTCGATTTTGGTTACGATCAGCTGAACGATAATTGTGACGTGGCATTGGAAATGCTGCTGGATCGCACGAAAATGTACAAAGCGCTGGAGCTGGAGTATAATAAGCTGGAGCGTAGTGCTGTCGTGGCCATCGGAAATGCACTTAGATGTCATTCCTTTGATGATCCCGAAGGCAGCCCTTTGGAGTATCTGGGTCTGGCCCATAATCCAATTTCCGAAGATGGCCTGACGATGCTAGTTCACGATATTGTTGGCACTAATCATGTCGAGGAGCTGAACATCAATGGCATTGAGTGTTATCCAAATCGGGTGGTAGCCAATATGAGTTTTCTGTTGCGCCATCATAAGCCATTGCGCCGACTGGACATGGCGGCCGTAAGGCTAAATTTATCGGTGGGACAAGAATTACTGCGCGGACTGCAAACGAATCACAAGATCATCCATTTCGATTGTCGCGCATGCGATCTGGACTCGGATGAGGAGTTCGAGGCGGATGTCATTATAAGGCGCAATAACTATGAGCTCCAGCATACGTATTTGGGAGATGAGACCCAAACTGAGGAGAGCCTTCTCCAACATTTAGCTGGACTCAGGCATCCCATTTTGACAAAAATCCAAAATGACTTGGAGCGACGGGACGAGTGCATCAGGAATCGACCATCCGAATCGTCCACTGATCTGAGCGTCAACGAGGAGCAAGACGAGGAACAGGAGGAGGAGTTCGACATTTGGAAGGTCCTTGGTGTTAGAAAATCGGTCGTCAAGCAAGAGATTGAGCGGCCCTCATCTGTTTCCTCGCATCAGAGCAATAGTGTCTTTGTCTACAATCCGAATGCCTTCACTCTGCAAGAGTTTCGCGAACATCTGTTTTTGCCGGGACCCGGTAACCGGTATTACTATTTCCATAAACCAGAAGAGATGTAAACACACCACAAATCACTTCATTTGGTTAGTGCTTAGATAGCAAGAGCAGGTTGGGAGGTGGTCACAGGGTTTTTTTTTTAGTTCGTTACTTGCAAAATTTGGTGTTAGAAAAAATGTATGGAATGAAAAAAATTATGTCTTGGAATTCTTTTCACTTGGCTTTCCCTTCATAAACGGGACAGCTGTAGGATAATTTATATCCAGAGACTCGGATCCGAATCCTCAGTGTTATACATTTGAAATTAGTGCGCTACGACAATTTTTTTGCAGCCATTTACTTTATGTAGAGATACTCTCTCCCATCTCATTACAACTTAATCCAAGCACTTGACGGTCTTAAGCGGCGATGACAATGCGTTTTCTGGACACACCTGTTGTCGCCATCGGTCTGACCGTGCAATGACCCAACATATTTGCAATAAATTTGGCTTTTGCTTTCCCTCAAACGCGAAATCAATTGAAAATACAAATATGCTAGCAAAGGCACCATAAATAATAATAATAATAATAAAAATAAGGGAAGTAAGGGGCTTGCAGCAACAGGGACCGTTAACAGCCGCAACAATAACAAACACCCACAAGCAACAGCAACAGTTGCCAGATCGTGTGAATTTATTGCTTAATCATGCGCCTTTTTAGACACACTACTCGAATGTAAATAAATGCAAATTCGCTGCAGCTCTTAGGTTCCAGGTTCAGGGCTCCATCCAAGGCGTGTGCTTTGTCTAACTGGACACGCTCACGTGTGGGGTTTACGCCAGGTAGGCGTTCTCCGACTCCAACTCTGACTGCGTCTCCGACTAGCTCTTTGGCAAGTGGGTCGACAACACAGTAAAAAAAATTCGGAGTTTTCTTGAATTAAATTTTGTTTTGTCTTTGCGCTTACCTGTAAAACGAGAAGACGCCGGTTCAAACCCAAGTGCCACTTATATGAGATCTTGAATTTTCTATATACTTATATTAATAAAGTACTGATGGACCTTAAAGATTAAAAGTACTTATTCTAAATTTAAATTTTTCTCCTAAAAACTAATTTTATTATTATTATATATTATATATGAATACAAAAACGTTTTGAATTTAAACTGAAAAATGTTCACTTTGAACTGATGCAACTTTTGCTGTTTGCTGTTTGCTGTTTGTTTTATTTGCTGCGTGGGCGACTTTACCAGTGAAGCACTGCAATTAATATGAGGCACCATGCAACAGCAATAACAACGACAACAACAACAACATCAGAAGCAGCAGCAGCAACAGCAGCAGCAGCAGCAACAGCTTGCTGCCACCCACACGGCAGCAATAAAACCCGTTGGCAGGCTTAAACAAATCAACAGTTTGCTTGGCAAACATTTCGCAGTTTCGTAATTTAAATTTTGTAAATGCACATATGGGTCACCATCTTTGAAATTCTGGCCAAATAAAGCAACAAATAGCCAGAACTTTTCAATTAAACAAATCGAATTAAACAAATCTCTGGAATATTGTAAGTTTCTAGCTGCAAAGCTCAGCTGCAACTCAACAATACACCAATGCAACATGTTCGATGCCTAACAGCGCGCATTCCGCTAACATAGCCAACATCTGTTATTTACACATAATTCAAATGTTTAGGTTGAGCTATGTTCAAAATGTTTCTTGGTCTCAAAAACGTATAGATTTCGTCAATTGCAGATCATTTTTTGATTTAATGATATATGCTAATATACAAAATAGGTCTGCTAACAAATAATTGTTTGGGAGTATAATCAGATATTTTTATTGTTTTTCTTTAAAATTGGATTAATTGGATATGATAAAATATTTTCAAAATGAAAATCTAAAATCTTAGTTAATCGTTTCAAAAGCGTTTCGCTGTACACACTTGATTTGAATTTGCAAAAGATACGAATGTATCCGTTGACAAATAGCCACTGAATGTTTAATAAACAATAACATTCGATAGTATATATTTTAAAGTTATAATGAAGTAAATATTAGAAGAGGTTTTGATTAATTTTTGGCTTACACATTCGATATTCAAAATGAATTATCAAATGAAGAATGGCAAAGATAATTTTTACTGAGAACCCGAAATAACTGCCAAAATTCAATTTACTTTCGTCGAAAGCTGTACCGCAACCTCGCCTCCGCGACTTGCTCAGACAGCAGCTGCTCTGTTTTTAACTTGTTTTGTTGTTGCTGTTTATTTGTTTTTAGTCGAACCGTTTGGTATGAAGCGTCCAGCTGCCTGGTTGGCTGGCTGGTTGGCCGCCAGCTGACTTCGAGCAGGTTGGCAGCGTTTGTCAGTTAACAAACGAGTCTCGACGCGCGCGGTTCACGCAACGCTAGCTAAAACTTGGCCCAAACTGAGCCTGACAGCTTGACAACAGCCAATTTGCTGGCCATTTGGCTTTTCAATGTTGGTTAAAACAATTTTTTAAAATTATGTAAAAAAAATAAAACAAATTGTTTAGTGGTTAGCTATAAAAGTATCTGTATCTTTGATCAATTGTATCTGTGCTGCAGTATATAAATATATATTTTATGGGCTTTATGCTTAGATCAAGTGTACGCTGTAAGTGCAGTGCGGAGTGAAGAGCGAAGTGCGGTGCGCTCTAAATCGTTTATAGAACGTGCAAAGCGTTAACAGTTAAACAAATTCATTTGGCATAGGCCGAAAACAACATGACTGTTCAGCTGTTCAGCATGCTAATGGAGTTTTAGAAAAGAGAAAAGTATGTAAAAATAAAACTAAGAACATTCAAGTCGGCTGGAGCCGACTGTCCAATACTCTAAACACACACAAATGTTAAGTCAAAAGGGGTTAATTTGACTTTGTAGGTTGGTTTTTTATTTAGTTTTTTTTTTTAGTTTCAAAATATGCATAGTTGTAATCTTTCGAGTAATATGTCGAATGGACTTACAAAATTGTTAACGATTAAATATTTTATGATCAATATTCATGCAGACAACAAATATACTCGCTTTCTCGTTGTAAGCAGGGTATACAACTTTAACTTTTTTAACTGTGATAAGCAACAAATTTAAGACCCTAGCTCAGGGTTAAAGCTAAACTCGTAACTAATTTCAATTTCACTTGAGGCAACGGGTGTTAAATCTTGTGACTGCACACTTGAATGCATTTGTTATTCACTACTCGAAGTGAATTCTCATTCATGGATGCTAATTAATCGATTAAATAGTAGGTGAGTGTGCATAATTGGGTCACAAAATAATTTGCACTTAACTAAATGAATTCAATTTTGATTGGCAGTTGCATTTTACGGCAAACAGCTGGAAAAAGTTGTTAAATTTTTACTGTTCAGCTTACATTTTCATAGTGTTTTTTCTCACCTGATTTTACAGCAGCTTAAGTAAACACTTGCATGTTTACGACTCTTGATTGTTTTTGCATTTTAAAATTTGCAATTTCGACTTGTTTGATTTACTCACTTATTCTACTCGCTTGCGCAGAGCATTGCAAATTGAGAGGCAAATTGTAATGAATTGTGATATGCTTGTTAAATCAAAAAATATATAAATACAAAATGTATGCAGCTCACAACAAACCGTAGGAAACTGCACTTTTTACTGCTGTCAGTGAAAAATAAAAAAAAGGTAAGAACATTGTTGGGAATCGGTTTTATGAAATATTTGTGGTTCTTATGCACAACCTTTCGTCTGCAAGGGTATATAAACTTCGATGAGCCTTTGCATATTGATTTTCTTTTCTGTCGCTTTGTGGCGCAGCTTTTGTAAACTTGAACATGTCGCGTTGACTTTGAGATCTGATATTTGCCACTTTCCCGTTCGAGAGTATTGTTTGCTATCGCCTTTACTTTTAGGACATTCAGTATGCACTTTATACGATTTAGCTACATTTGAAAAGAATTGCAAATAAATTTGAATTTTAAGCGGGTGAATGCAACATTGTGGCAGCCACAAAAATGTTTATATATATACATATTTATGAACTGGCACAGATTGGCCACTTTTATTTATAATTTGACGTTTGTTTACATCAACTTTTTGCTGCCCGCAAATGCAACAAGGCACTTGTGTCTCTTCCAACATCAGTCAAAAATAGTTATTACCCGCACTGGGGCCATAAAGTTGCCCAATTTATGCAGGAAGCTTATCAGGTTGAGGTGCTAGCTACACAGTAAAAACAAATTTAAAAAAAAAATGTCTATATGTAAAGAAGAAATTAAAAAAAAAAATAGACTTTATATTAAATATGGTCATTATTTAGTTTACAAATCGTTTAAAAATAAATAAAATAATTATCTTTGACTAAGTTTTCTTTGAGTTAAAATAAATAAAGAATTTAGAGCACATTCGAATTGAGCAAAGCGAATTTTACCTCAAAAATGATGTAAATGCAAAAGCTTAGTGATTTAAAATTGATTAGAAAATTGTTTGCTGTGTAGGCTGTTCAATTATTCATGCAACCACTGCACATTTCACACCTCTGACTGTCTAATGCGCTCTGCGGTCAGGTTGTCAACGGTGCAACAGCTCAAATTAGCCATGCAATTTGTACTTAGCAATTTGCCACATTGCTGCAGTTGCAACAGTTGCAACAGTTGCTCAGTTGCCGCCACGCGGCTGGCCATGGCAGAGGGCTTCTAGCTAGACTCTGAAGTGCAGAGGCGTTTTGCACGTCCGAGGCTAATAATAAAATGGACAAGGACTTAAACCCACAACACGCAGACACAGGCACAGACGTAGACGCAGCTGACGACAAGCGACAAGTTTATCACTTGTTAAGCCAAAGTAGCAGACACGCATTGAGCCACAGCGGGCAGGAGCAGAAGCCAACGAGTGGAAGACAACAGCCACAGACTAAGATCCAAAGCTCCAGACTCCGTCTTGGATGCAGTCGACAAGCTGGCAGGCGCAGATGGGCGCGCCAGATAACGCAGACAGCGCTGCCAGTTGCAGTCTGACTTTGAGGCAGCCACAATTTGCATGGCAGCCGAGTTCAAGCCGTGCCATCAGCCCAACATCAGCGGCTGCCAACGTTAACCCTTTGAGGCCCACTGTGCTGCCAGATGGAGCAGAACGGAACGGAAAGGAGCATAGACAGAATGCGCCCACACAGGCAGCAGCTGCGCGTCTGTTAAATAATGTCAGCCAATTGTCAAGTGACAATAAAGAAGGATAAACAAGAGTGTGCTTGGCGTCGAGTGTGCTCAACGAGAAGATACCCTGTAACCAGCAATGCAACGTGCTGCCTCAAGTCCCAAACTCTCAAGTTCTAACTCAATCTTGGAGAACTTCTGTGCTTAATATCAAGTCATTAGAAAATTTGTGGAGAATATCTATATATACAGCAAAAATCAATCTATATATATTATATTTTACATGGTATTCGTATCTGTTAAAATCTCCAACATATGCGCAAAAGGCTTAAAATCCTCATTGATTGTGATTGATCGAGAATAAGTGTAATCTTATTTTGTCTCTTACATAACCATTTTCAATGAGAAGAGGATATAATAAAAGTCAGAGCTGCCTCTGGGCTATTAATACTGCTGGCACGGGCCAGGAAACAAATGTCAGACGATTGTCAACACAAAAAATTACGTATACGCAGCGTGATGTTCATTGATACAACAGAGTTCGATTTGCTTTTGCTTTCGCTTCCGCATCGCGTCGAGTTGCTGCTGCTGCTGCTGCTGCTGTCGCTCAATTGTTGTCTTCGATTTCGCGGTGGCTCATTCAATTTTAATATGTTTGTTTCTTCAGCTGCTGCGACAGCTGTGGCAACTTTACACGTCATTTCATTGGATTTACATTTTATGACATTAATGGCTGATGACAATTTCAATTACATAAGTGCCGACTGCAGATACGCTGACGCTGACTGCGCAGCTCAGCTGCAATTCCATTCCATTCAGTACAGAGCCCCTATGGCAATTTTAAATATTAGTTTTTATCTGGTCAAAGAACTAAACATCTATAGATAATGTCAGCAACAAGCTACTTATTAGAGGTTAATATTGGCGAAACGAGCTTAGAATTTATCTCCATGGCAAATAGGATTTATGTGCAACTTAATTGGGGATTAGGTTGGCAAATTAGCTGGGGATTATGTGGGTGCACGCAAGCACAATCAGGTGTTTGATTGAGCTAATAATAAATTGGTAATATAAACGATTATAAAAATTAGAATTATATGATGAAGTTAGAAATATGTTGGTGAGCGTGTGTTTTCCCCTTTAAATATTTGGTAATAGAGCATTTATTTGCTGCGATAGCACTCTATTGCCTTGACATAATCTAAAACACACAACTCTTGTGCTGGAGCACACAAAACAAATAAAAGTATTTTGTTAGTTGAACAAACAAATCAGCAAACACTCTATTATTTCCCTGCCTGCTGAAATAAAACTGTGTAAGCAAATGCCAAGCATCAGCTAATTGGCTGCAAAGGTTACAGCATGTCCAAAAAAAGGAAGAAAGCGATGCGTACATCAATTAGTTGCTCCAATTAGTTGCCTAAGGCTAAGACAGAAAAGTTGGCTGCCGTAAAGCAATTAACATTATTAAAGCGTAACAAATTGTCACACACACACAAGTAGACCAACACACTCACAAGCACACACAAACAACCAACAGGAACCGCTCCCGCTGCTACACCTGCTGGGCACTTTGATTTGCACAAAGTATCTGCCAGATACAAATACAAAAAGCTCTGCTTTTAACACAACTTTAATTAGCAAGACAAACAGTTAACCCCCCCTTCAAATAATGGCAACTGACGCCCTTGCGTTTACTTTCAGACTATCGCACTGCTGGACAACAGAATTAATAACAGAAAGTAAAAGTTAGCTAGTCGAGAGTGAACGACTGAGAGGTAGCCTCTATCTGAAGCCAAGTGGACCACATTTTATACTACCTTCTACAAATGAATACTCAAAGCAGAAACTGAGATAAAAAACATTAGCATTGCTCTAAGCAAAAATGTATTCTTAAATAACTTTTGGGCTCAAGAATGCACCTCTTCCATTTAGGTCTCTAGTATGGACAGACTCTTCAAGTTAACTAGTCCTAATCAATATTATCAATTACATACATTTGCACGACAGTAATATACCCCTTTTCAGCCAGCTTAAATAAATGCAGGGTATTAAAGCTACAAAACGTGACGATAATATTGCTGGGGTTGGCAGCAGCGGCAACGAAAATTAACGAAATTGTTAAAATAAACGCCAGACATGGAATTTAATTAAAATTTATATTTTGCAGCATATATGCTGGTGGGCGATCTCAGGCTCAAAAATCATTTGGTCGATTCGATAAACAATATATTAAAAATATATTATGGCCGCTTGGCGTACGCTGCGTATGCTCAATTTTTGCCATAGACAGCTATTAAAAGCGGCCTTTGTGCATGAGCAAAATATTTCGAGCAGCTGCTAATTGAATCTGCTACGCTTTATGCGTCCTCGGGGCGATGCTGCCCTTCGGTTCCCTGCCCTATGCCGTGCTGTTGCTGACATCCTGAAGCTGGGCCCTTTTTGCACGTGTCCCGCAAATTGATAAGCCATAAATTTTCGTTATAGCTGAAGCAACAGTTGCGCCGCTTTAAGCCACATAAAAGGACTGTTGGCTACTGGCTGTGGCTTAACTGGCCATTCATCCACCTCACTCCTCCTCTCTTCCGCTTTCTCTCTCTCTCTCTCTGTCTCTCTTTTCCATTACCTCTCTGGCTGTATATGTGCGTCTA